ATTATGACAACACAACTTAATACATACAATATATAGAAGTTTTTAAACATATTAAAATCATATATATCTTATACAGTTTAATATCTCAAATCCATGATATTAAGGTCATAGTGTTATATTATACAATGAGTCATACGCTGTTATGAAGGTTCGGTAACCCACACCCCTTTTACACTAATTATTGGCTCAATCACTTGTCACATACACCATGATCCATAACACAAGAGATTATAGGCCCACTAATAACCCGGAGACACAGAACCGACTGGGCATTCATAGCTCTCACAACTCCACCCACCTCCCTATGTGCTCAATGCATATCACTACTTAGCATAATGCAGGTAGGAGCTGAACATCCCTTCTCTATAATTGATGATGCACACAAAACAAGATCCATGTTTGAAACCACATCACCACAACCTTCTTAAAATCAACACATGTTTTATCAAAATCAACATCAATCAAATACTTAAAACCACATACAATTAATACCACAAATTCACTTATATATATATTGAAATATGTCAAAAACTACCTAGCGCTAGTAAAGCCATAAGATCCACTTGCCTTAGGTCCTACACAATCAATTCAAACCTCTCCACTCACTTTTTAACCTCGAGTATTTACTTCGTTAAAATCTCCCTTTTTATTTTTCTCAATTTCTCTATCTATTTTAGAAGAGTATCCCCTTGTAAATACTTCAATTTTATAACCAAATTTCGGCAGCATCTCCCCTTAGAATTATTTTTATTTTACAATAAAAAATATTCTCATTATATGTAAACTAATTCCCTTGAAAAGAAACCTAAAATTATGTACCTTGTAGAACATGTAACCTTAATTCTGAGAGAGTCATGTCTTAATTCTTGAGCCTTTTCTTTTGAAAACTTCACAAAGCTCAAGATGATTTCATTCACTTTCTTGTCTTAAAAATAATGACAATATAACTCAAAGACTAATCCCAAAATCTCATGAAAAATTAAATTCCAAAATTAAGAAAATTGCTTACCTTTCCTCACGATTATGGCCTTCCTTCGCCATGGCTTAGTTGTCTCTTTTTCCTCTCCTTTCTTTTGCTGTTCCTTCCTCCTTTTTTCTTCCTTCCTCTCATAATTTCAGCAGAGTTTCCCCCAAGGAAGACTCACAAAATTCTCACAAACACACACACCCTCATGGGTTTCTCACTCCCACTCTCTCTTTCTCACCTCACGGCCTCTCTCCCTTCTCTTCTCTCTTTCTCTCTTTCTTTCCTTCCTCTTGGCCTCTCCTGCCTCTCTTCCCTTCCCCCCATCCCCTATTTATAGTTTAGGGGGATCCATTATGGTGGCAAGAGAGAAACATGTGTCAAGCCGTGACTTTGCCACCTAAACCACTTCAAGTCTTATCCTTAAACTTTGATGCTATCTCATGCTTGACCTAGAATCTTCCGCATTCTACCACTTGCTCCACCACTTCATCCACCTTCCAGCAGCTTCTCTTGAAAATTTGGGCTCATTTAGAGACCATTAGGGTTACCATAGGCCCACATTAGCCATAAGGCCCAAAATTGCAACCCTTAGCCACGTCTCCACTTCAAGCTACCAATTCAAGCCCAATTATTTGGAACTTGGCCCATTTTTGGTAACCCTAATGGCTCAATTACATGTTCCTCGTGCTTTCAGTTACTTACTGTCCAAATTTGGGCTCAATTCGACATTGTTAGACCCATCTAAGGTCTACTCAAGGCCCAAAAGGTTCAAACCGCAAGCGACCATAAGCCCATGCCTTTTCCTCCATTTCAAGTTGCCATTTCTCCCTTTATTCTAGAGAGTTCTTGACCGATCTTTGCTTCACTGGTTCCTCCTCATTTCAGCTGCCTATCATCCAATTCTGGGCTTTATTGGAGCTCTTTAGGCCCATCTAAGACCCACTTAAGGCCCAAAGGGTCAAAACCACCACCCATTTCCTAACCTCTTGGGTTTCACCCATTTTCTTCCAAATTTTCTTCTATGCAAATTTTTCTCTTTTGAAATTTCTATTCCCTCATATGTTGTTTCACATCAAGTTTCGTATTTTGAACTCGTGACTCAATTTTAGGTTTGTAGGTTAAATTAGAGTTTCTTGGGGGAAAACTTCCCTGAATTTAATTTCTCTCCCATTTTTCTTACTCCTAAAGTTTTCTCACTTTACAACCTTCTTTTCTCACATGTGAACTACTACTTCCCAAAATTTTGGCTCAAAATTCCACCGATTGAAAGCTTAGGAAGCGTCTTAACAACAAAGAGTCATTTTTCTCGCTCACCCAAGGGATTTTCTCCCACTTAAAGCTAATTGTCTGTTTCTCTTCCAGTTTTCCACCCGAATATTTTTCTCACTTCCCGAAGCTGTTTTTTAATTTCCTACGATGTTTCAACCTCAAAAAATGTTTTTAGGTCGGAGAAAATCAGTTCTCACTTTGAGGAAAATTATCTCTCTAAGAGTTTTTTTAACCCTATTTCATCGTTTCTCTG